TTTCCTTCCCAGAAAAGATTCTGCTTTGTATGCTTAAAGCACTTCCTTCTTGGCAGAAAAGGCCCCTATTTCAGTAAGAGGGCAGTGATTGCTGAACAGCTCTTGGCTTTTGTGTCCGAAAATTTTGTAACCTCTTCTTCTTGAACTTGACTGTCTTATTTCCCAAGACAGAATGTAGCTGCCTCCTCTTTCATCCAAAAGTATGGTAAAGCCGTATGCATGGGGACAGTGTGATTCTGTGTACAGCCACCTCATTGTCTGCTTGAAATATAAGCGATTCCCTTTCCCTGCTCCATCTGACAAAACTGCAGTGATTTGGAAAACTACCAGTTCGCTGACCTGACCTATCCACCCCGTTCCTGTGGGTTCACAGAATGAGAGACGCTAATGTGAAACATCTGCTCAGAGCACTCATGGCTCTGGGCTCTTTGTGCAGGTTGGCTTTGAGGGGGTGTTTTCATTATTGAACTGGATTAAACCTGATGATTCATTGTTGGTACAGTGCCCCAGAGCTCTGCATATTTCTCTGCAGCAGTAACGTGTTTAGGCCACATGTTTTTCACTATTGCTCTTGTAACTGTTTTGAGCTCTCTGCTGTTCATTGACAGTCTCGTTTGTGGATTTTTTCCAGCTGCAGCCATTGTTATCCCATGTTTGTCAGCAGTGGTGTCAGGCTATGGTGAGTGTCTTTCCAGCTTTCAGTGGCAGCCCTTGGCCCCTTGACTGACCTTTGTATAGACTTGGCTTAAATACAGAATTGATCTCAAGCTTAGTGATGCATCAACAGGAACACTTGTGGTGTAGGGCCACCTCAGATCTGATTGTTGGACCAGTGACTCTGGCTGCTGCTTGGCTTTTAGAAGGCCTCTTTACTCCCAAACACATTAACAAAGGAAGCAGAAATGCTGAGTTACAGCGCACTGCTACTCCAAATTGTACATATGTAACCCTGAAGTGATTACCACCCCTCCCCACCCCCCCACCCCCCCGCAGGAGTGAGGCTAAAGCTGAGGAAAAAAAAGCCCTTCATGGTCACTAGTATGCTGCCCCTTTACCGTACAGCCAGCAATCCAACACTGCAGTTATGATGTAAAGCTTTGTTTTTGTTGAGCTGGGGCACTACAAAGCACTCTTGACAAGCCCTGATGTTTTTTCAGGGGAAATAAATGCAGCTTGGGTAGTGAGTGTGAAATGAAAGGAAGGGGAGATGCATGTGGGAAATGCCCCAAAAGAACAAGGCTCCATGAGCCCCCACGGGGCCCGGCCCTGCCCCGAGCAAAACCTGCACACTGAATAACGGCTCTCTGCTTACACAGGCTCTGCTGGCCAGAAGGGACGAGTCATGGGGATCCTGAGGAGCCTGGGCGCCCTTGCCAGAGCCCTGGGACCCATCCTGTCAGCTACGGGTGAGCGCTCAGTCCTGCCTTTGCCAATGCGTGGCACCACTCTGGGCCCCGCAGCTCAGGTGGAGCTGGAGGAAAAGGGGAAGGGGAAGCGCTGCAGGTTTCAGAGCCAGAAAGTTCTTTGCAGAAGTAGATGCCCTTCAGAGCTGCACCAGAGGTGGGACACAGCCCTGGTTAGTACCAGCAAAAGCTTCATGGATGAGTTAGTTAGTTAAAGTAGGTCATACAAGCAGAAATTAAACCAGGCAGAAGCTGTTGCCTGACTAAAAATTCCAGCAACATCTGCAGCAGACTACCCATGCCCTGTGTGCAGCTGTGCAGGCAGAGGAACATCACAGAGGGCCTGGCCCTGCTGTGCAGAGGGAGCTGGAGCCTGACCAGGAACCCTGGGCTTTGCTGGGCTTATTTTTAGCCATTTTAGCAAGTAACCCCACCTGCTGAGGGGCCGCCCCAGCACCGGGTGAGCTGGAGTCTGTGAAATCAAGGTTTCTTCAGCTGTGTAACTGGTTCCCCACATCTCATGATGCTGCATCCCAGGATGACACAAATTAAGTAGGCACAGCCCATCATATGCAATGAAGAACTTTTCAGCATTAAAAGCATCTGTAACCCCCACACCTAGATGAAAGAGCCCACACTCTGCTGATGCCCCAGCAGTCAGGGAGGGCGACTGCTAAGGAGCACAGGTACCTTCAGGACAGGGTTCGGTTCCCCCATTATAAGGCAGAGGGACAGTGCAAGGGGAAGCAGCCACACAGCAAGTCAGAGCCTGAACTCAGACCTAATGTTAAGTTTAGCAAAGCCAGAACCCTTTTCCTAGGCATTGGCTTCCTGAGTGTTTCACCTAAGGAGCCTGGTACTAATGGTGAGAGACCTTAAAGAGAAGCACCAGGAGCAGCTGTGCAGGAGGTGCTGGGGCAGTTAAATAGCTGAACGTCTAAATAGGAACTTCCCTGTTGCCAAACAGGCAAGAATGAAAACACCCTATTTAAAATAACCACTTTTAATGTGCTGCTTCCTTGGGAGAGAGCCAGTGCTGCTCTTACATTCCGCTTTACAGTTCGTGTGCCAGCAAGGGGTTGCAGGGAATGATGGAGTAGTTTGGTGTTCTCCAGTTGCACCAGTTCTGGAGCGCAGCAGCATGGAAGGCCTGGGTACAGAGCTGCCAGGACCAGCACGCTAATGAGCTGCATCTTGTTTCCTTTGCAGTTTACTGGCTGGCAGGGGCAGAGGTTTGCTTCACTGTCTGTGGAGCGTTGTTCCTCATCCCCTTCGTTTTACTTGGCTGTACAAAACAGCAGCCAAAGGACAAGTAGGAGGTAACCACAGACCTACCACCAGCTTCCAAGGAGCTCTCTGCAAGACCTGCTTCTTGCCACCCAACTGCTGATCAAATAGGAAGAGGAGGTCTTTCATCTTCTCCCAGGGAATACGTGATGACCATTTGCAGCAACAGCAGCTGTCAGCCCCTCCCAACAGCAGTTGCACCACGGCCTCCCAGCCAGCGGCGCTAGCTTGGCAAAAAGAAAAGAAAAACCCAACCCAAACAGCATCAGATCATCAGACAAGCAGCAGGGCCTGGCAGCAGGACAGCACAGCACAATCCCAATTCACCAGCAAGTGCTGGTACCACTGCCCAGTTGTGTATGCAGAGCTCTTCCCTGCGCCTCTCCCTTCATCAGCAGCAGAAGCCCGAAGCCTCTCCCAGGGGACCAGTTTGTGGGGGTTTGGCAGGCAGAGAGCGACTCCGCAGGGAGTTTCTATACAACTGTCAAGATCCCCACAAATGCTCAGCGGGGCTGGTAAAAGCTGCATCAGCTGCCTTAAAACATGACGACCAAAAGTGAGCAGCGTACTACAGCCATCCGCAGCCTGGCTGATACTTGGGCACAGGTGGACTGTTTTTAACATACAATTGAATTTTGACAGATGTTTTACATTTCTAATACTACATGCTGTTTTTTGATGACCAACCACTGTTCTTTTTTGCATTACAAATAAACCGTTCCATTGCAGACCCATCCTGTGGGTTAATTACAGTGCAGGCATTGACACAGCCGTGCTGGGCCAACACCAAAGGGGGGTCCAGACCCCCTGGAGGGGCTGACTCCACCCAGGCAGGGCTCCTGCTCAGCTGGGGAAGGAAGCCCTGGCGTAGCCAGTCTGAGCATTTTCTGAGAATACATTAAATCAATCATTAATCAACATATTAATCATTAAAAAGAAAGTACAGCTAATTAAATTATTAAATTGAACAGGCTCCAGCTGTAGAAAAAAAACGATAACTTTTGGAAGCAGAGCAGGAATTTTTTTTTTTTTTTAAGAGTTTTATTTGTGAGTAGAACTTAACGATACAAGAAAGAAAAAAAAATACAGGACTTTATTCTGCCCCGAAGTGTGTAACCATACCATACATGACTACATTTCATATTGTAATACAAAGAATTAAAAGAACAAACTACAAAATTAGAAATTAAGAGTCATTGCATATGTGGTCAAGAGAAATGGAGAGACTCCATTAAAGAACTGAAACACGGAGCAATCAGTGATTTAATTACGACCCTGCAATAGAACACAATTTAGCAAAATAAGTACTGTAGGCTTCCTAGCGTACAGAGGACGTAGAAGGTTAAAGTACAAGCTGAAAGCTGTTGGTGCCATGCAGTCCTGACTACCCAGCGCTGCTCAGGGGCCCTTCCTGCACCACCAAGCACTGCTGCTGCCCTTTGCCCCCCTGCCCCTCCTCAGCGGGTGACCTCAGCAGCGTCTCACCCTCCATCACCACCCACACACCTCCCTTCTCACATGAAGCCCAACAGCTCCAATCCTCCTCTCGCTGCCTCTCGCGCCTCCCGGCCTCGGGCAGGCCTGGCTCAGCCAAAGCTGCCTCCAGCTGCCCAACCCGCCTCTCTCTCCCTTGCTGCTTTCTGCTGCATGAATTGTAAGGCATTAGTTTTCTGCTATTTTACCAGTTGCAATGTTTAATATCCTCCTAAAAGGTTACATCCATACTCTGCTTTGTTACAGACCCTAAACTGTGAGTCAACATGTTTCCCTGCCAACACAGGGTGCCAATGGTTTTTTTTCTGCTGCTAACACCCAAAGTGTTACTGCTAAAGCCAGAAATGGTTACCAACCTTCCCCGCTTCTGCCTGGGGGAACTGTGCCGGTTTCTGGAGAATTCTTGCAAGCTTTACCTATCTGATCTTAAACTACTTTTATGATTAGTGATAGCCAGAAGCATGGCAATAACTGGAAAGTAGTGAATTCAGTGGTGAAAGTGATTTTCTTTACCATGCTACGTAGTAAACAAACATTTAGAGCAAACTGTGAAAAAGGTTACTTGGGATTGCTGTACTGTACTGCTGGCAACAACAACAACAAAAAAGAAATGCCAGGTTTTGTAAGTGAAAATAATTAATGTAAAAAAAGGTTAAATATTCAGTGTAATGCATTTACATTTTTATCATGGGAAGGAACAAACAGAACAGGCCGCCAATGGGGTTTATCATTTATATGCAACAGATTTTGCACGTACACCCAAGGGATTTTTAAGAGGGTGAAAAAACCCCGTGCTAAGGCCTGAAGTACAACTGCCCATGCTTCACCCCCCCAGCTGACAAACCTCTGAAATACTCTGAATACAGTTACTTTTCAACCTTTTCTAAGAGCCAATTACCCTCTGACTGATTCTTGCGGACGCAAGATCGAAAGACAGATTTTCCCTTAAACTGTATTCACCAGAAAAGGAGATTTGGGGTCTTTCAACGCACAACGTGAGCAGACCACACCACAGTTATCTCAGTCCTAGACATCAAAGATGATTTCAAGTGCCAGTTATAAAATAAAGCAAAGTGAGAACCACCTTCGTTTTGTCACGCTAGTCAGAGAGGAGAAAGAGAGGAAGGAAGGGATAAGCCTCAAAGCTTGACTGAAACATGACCTGTAATCACAAGCTTGCCAAAGTCGACATGTCAGTTCAGGAATGCATCCCCCTCAAAAACACCACTGCAAAAGCATCCTCTCAGAGTCACTACTTAAGAAGAAATTTACTCGTGACTTGGAACAGAATATTGGAAAAGAACGCTTTTTGTGGTAAGCAATGCGTGGTTTAATTGTGAATTTATTTTTTATTCTTTTGTAAAGCAGTGCGGGCTTTAAATGAAAAGCAGTGATTCAATGCCTTCCATGTGACGGTCATTTACATTTGATTACAAATTAGGGATCAGATCTGTGGTAGCTGCTGAAAACACAGGATTAGCACCTTTTTGGACATTAGTTTCTGGTTATAACCTTAAACAATCAAGCCATAACTTGAGGGGCTGGTTGGATTACTTGTTGCATTCATTTACATAAGACGACAAAACACTCAGTACGATCTGGTACATTCTAGTGGTTAATGGATTTTAAAATACGACAGTGTTTCTGCAGTGTGTTTGGCCTTTAGGAGTCACTCTTCTTTTTGCTCTTCTTCAGGAAGGAAGGAGTGCGAAACTTCTTTTTCTTTTTCGATGGGGACTTCCCTGGAGATTCATCGCTGCCTGCATCAGCTGCTGTCCCCTCCTCAGCTGTTGGTGTTACCGGCTCTTCAGTGGGGTGAGACTGGGGTTCTTTGTTTTCCACTGCAGGCGATTCCGTTTGGCTTTTGGGCACATCTTCATCGCATCTCCCTTCCTCCTTTCCTACAGGAGGGAAGCCGAGTGCTTCTGAAGGCTCATCAGGGGTGAGATCTGGGAGGGTTTGCTTGAAAGTTGCAGCATCACTGTCATCTTTGTAAGTCTGGTCCTGCTGTGTCTCTAGTGGACGGACAGACAGTGACACAGTTAGTTTACGTAAGTGTCCCTAGAACAGAGAAAGCCAAGCAAGTTGATGGCGAGAGCTCTCTATAAAATAACTATTAGATTTACTTTGCGTAAAAGCCTTTGTAATAGGTCCATTCTCATCTAGCTTCGGGCACAGACATAGAAATAAGACATTCAAAAGTTTTGTCTGTTTCTAAGCCTCTTAGCACAGAATAGATAAAGCTGGATCCCATCATGAGGGTGCAAGCCAGCAGGAAAGTAACTGTTCAGACTTCTCTCAGGTTTTATTTACCCCATTTGCAAGTGCCACGAGGTTTCAATACAATAAGGAGGAATTAAACCTACAGTCTTCCCTGGCACTGAAGAGGGCATCATGAAATTCCGTGTCTTGATTGTTTTTTCTTTTGGTGGGATAACACTAATTGCTGGTTCGCAGTGATCCCACACATGCAAAGCCATTAATTCCTAAACTGTTGGCTTGCCAATTTTTAATCGCAATGCTTGGATTTTCGTATTATTCTTCCATGAGATCTAACAGATGTCGCTTCAAAATATGAATTCCCATCACAAAGGCTTCACTTCTTTTGCAAGACAGCAGTATATATTATGGATTTCTGTAAGTAAAACCCACATAATTTATCGAATTAAATGAGCTCAGCAGGTTATGCAATACAGGTTGGTTTTTTTAAATGTAAGTGATAACTAACAGCAAAACTCACCCCGTATAAAGGAACATCAAAAATCTAGCGATAACTTAGTATCCAAAGGTGAACGTTACCACTGCTCCCCCAATTGCACCCCTTCCCCTCCCTCACGCCGTGCTTTAGAGATGTTGTTTAAAGCTCTTCTTTGTATATTTATACTGAAGAACGAGCACATTTAAAGCTCCCTGCAATGTTCGTCACTGCACCGCAGCCAAGAAGCGGCTCGTTAGCTGTGTCAAATATATCCCCACTGATGTTACATAAGGAGGAATTCAGAACAAAATCCAGGCCACGCTCATTGTAAGGCACAAAAGAAAGGCAACTCTTTTTTTCCCCTTTTAAAATCCTGTTCATTTTAACTTGAAAAGACTGAAGGCTTTCACAAGAATTTACAGAAAATACTTGCTACTTTCCCATTTTTCCTATAGGTGTGACAATGAGTGTTCTTTTTCTTTCTGCCAGATGGCATTAATAATCCTCTAATATCTTTGAGGCCTGTGTTCTGTGAATACCTGCTACAAAGCCCAACACGTTTTGCCTACAGCGCCAAGAACTTCCAACAGGTTAAATAAACAAAGCACACTAGTGTTCAGTGCCAAACTCAGAATGCACAAGTTAGCAGTTTAGAAGTTACAATGCAGGCAGGGTTTAAAACAGGGTAGAAAAGAGAAAGTGATCGTATACATTACAAGCTGCCTCCTAAAGCTCTTGTTTAACCTGTGCACGTAGGTGACACAAATTTGCAAGAAGCACCACCTACAACCTTCATGACCACTACGCTCTTTCTAGATTTCATTTTTCTTTTCAGGA